TAGTGAGGCCGCAGCTGGAGTACTGCGTCCAGTTTTGGGCTCCACAATTAAAAAAGGATGTGGAGAAGCTTGAGAGAGTCCAGAGAAGAGCCATGCGCATGATCAGAGGTCAGGGAAGCAGACCCTACAACGACCGGCTGAGAGCCCTGGGGCTCTTTAGCCTGGAAAAGCGCAGGCTCAGGGGTGATCTGATGGACACCTATAAATTTATCAGGGGTGACCACCAGTATCTGGGGGAACGGTTGTTCACCAGAGCGCCCCTAGGGATGACGACTAGGTCGAACGGTCATAAACTACTACAAGACCGTTTCAGGCTAGACACAAGGAAGAATTTCTTTACTGTCCGAGCCCCCAAGGTCTGGAACAGCCTGCCACCAGAGGTGGTTCAAGCACCTACATTGAACACCTTCAAGAGCAAACTGGATGCTTATCTTGCTGGGATCCTATGATCCCAGCTGACTTCCTGCCCTTTGGGCAGGGGGCTGGAGTCGATGATCTTCCGAGGTCCCTTCCAGCCCTAATGTCTATGAAATCTATATGGTTTTGAATAAGGAACTGTTTTTTGGGCTGGGATTATGGCTAAAAATCCTTTTTGGGCAACCCTACAACATAGCTCTGTGCCACTGAGGGAGTCTCCTGAACATCTCTGAACAGTGTTGCCCAGCCCAAAGCATGGTTTGGCACTGCCATACTATCAACTGACAACACCCCCAGCCACTGTACTAAGTATATGGACCTGAAGAAAAAAATGACATTTGGGTTGGGATTATGGCTGGAAATCCTTTTTGTGCCACCCCACATCATGCTGCTGTGGCATCAGGGGACTCTGCCAGACATCTGTCATCTGGATCTTGCCCAGCCGAAACTGCAGTTTGACTATGCCAGGCTGCCAACTGACAGTCCACCCCCCCATGCCCGCTGTACTAAATATACGGTCTTAAATAAGGAACTGGTTTTGGGCTGGGATTATGGGTCAAAATCCTTTGTGGGCCACACCACACCATGTCTCTCTACCACCGGGGGACTCTCCCACGTATCTCTGACCAGTCTTGCCTGTTTTGTGCATACCAGGCTGGCAATTGACAGCCCCCAGCCACTGTACTAAGTATATGGGCCCAAATAAGGAATTGACTTCTAGGTTGGGATTACAGGTGGAAATCCTGTTTGGACCACCGCACACCATACCTCTTTGACTCAAGGGGGCTCTCCTGGAGATCTTTGGCCATAGTCTTGCCTGGCCCAAAGCACATGTTGGCCATATCAGGCTACCAACTGATAGCCCTGCCATGCCCATTGTACTGAGTATATGGACCTGAATATGGAATTGGCTTTTGGTTTGGGATTATGGCTGGAAATCCTGTTTGGACCACCTCACACCATGCCTCTGTGGCACTGGGGATTGTCCTGGACATCCCTGACCAGAGTCTTACCTGGCTCAAAGCACATTTTGGCCATGCCTGGCTCCAATTTACTCTCCATCCCCATGTGCTATTTAGTCTAGGGCCACGAGAAATGGCACCGTTCCATTTTGATGGAATTTTGCCATTTCAAAATTTGAAATTTTGTTTCAAATTTTGTTTTGATTTGAAACTGACTGTCATTTCTGTCCTGATTTGGATGAAAATTGAAGGAATGGTAGCCCTTTTTGAGGACATTAAGCCTGCCAAGTTTCAAGGAGATAGGGGCAGGGATTTCACGGAAACAGCACCTCAAAGTCGTGAAAGCAAAAAACTCACATCACGTGTATGTGTTAAGCCACAGCGGGGTCACAACTGCAGGCTTGCTAGCCCCTGCTGAGGCAACAGCCTGTCAACTTTCAAGGAGATAGATGCAGGGATTTGGGGGAAACTGCACCTCAAGCTGTGGACAAACAAAACTCATGACATGGGTGACAGTGTGTGTTAAGGCGCAGCAGGGTTAAAGCTGCAGGCACACTAGCCCGTGCTGAGGCTACAAAGCCTGTCAGCTTTCAAGGAGATAGGTGCAGGGGTTTTGGGGAAACTGAACCTCAAGCTGCTGACAAGCAAAATTTGTGACATGGGTGCTTGTGGGACTGTGTCTGTCTTGGGGCACAGGGGGGTGAAAACTGTTAAGGTGTGCCCTCACTCAACTGACACCAAGGCAGAAAGCAGGGCAGTTCAAACAATGCTGCCTTTTATGCAGTTTTTCCATCCCTTCCCAGAGCACTGGGATTGGAAGAGACCTTGGGAAAGGATGACAGTCACTGGCCAGCTACAGAGTCAATAATGAAGTTACTCCTTCCCTCATCTTCCCCCTCCCTCTCCTTACTCTAGTTCCTGTTGTTGCTGTTCCACCAGGCACTGGACAGCAGGAAATATGCAAATATATTTCCCCACTGGAAGGAGATGGGCCTGGAAGGAGGTGGGCAGTGGGGTTCCTCAGGGTTCGGTCCTTGGACTGGTGTTATTTAATATCTTCATCAGTGATTTGGACAAGGGTGTGGAGAGCACCCTCTCCAAGCTCGCAGATGATACCAAGTTATGGGGAAAAGTTAACACACCAGAGGGCAGGGAGCAGATACAGGCCAATCTGGATATGTTGGCTCAATGGGCGGAACGAAATAGGATGCAATTCAACAAAGATAAATGTAAGGTACTCCACCTAGGAAGGAGGAATCCCCAGCACACCTATAGGTTGGGGGATGACCCCCTCAGCAGCTCAGAGGCTGAGAGAGCTCTTGAAGTCATAGCTGACTCTAATATGAACATGAGCTGGCAGTGTAATGAGGCTATCAACAAAGCCAATCGCACCTTGTCGTGCATTAGCAGATGCATGACCAACAGATTGAGGGAGGTGATGCTCCCCACTCTACTCCAACTGCAGCCTGACCAATGCCGCATAGTGTCCAGTTTTGGGCGTCACACTTGAAGAGGGACACAGAGGATCTAGAGAGGGTTCAAAGGAGGGCCAGTTGCATGATTAGTGGTCTCCATGAAAGACCCTACGAGGAGAGGTTGAGAGATCTGGATCTCTTCAGCCGTTACAAAAAGCGGCTGAGGGGTGAACTTGTAGCCACCTATAAGTTTATCAGGGGAGGACAGCACGTAATTGGGGATGCGCTGTTTACCAGAGCGCCCCAGGGAGTAACTAGGAATAATGGGTGCAAACTAGTGGAGAGTAGATTCAGGTTAGACATTAGGAAGAAACTTTTTACAGTAAGGGTGTCCAGAGTCTGGAATGGGCTTCCAGGAGAGGTAGTACTATCATCTAACTTGGAGGTCTTCAAGAGGAGGCTGGATGGACACCTGGCTGGGGTCATCTGACCTTGGTCGTCTTTCCTGCCAGGGGCAGGGGGTCGGACATGATGATCCACTGGGTCCCTTCCAACTCTATAATCTATGAAATGTATGAATATGGCTGCATATATAGGGCACCTATACATGTGACAGACCTCTGCTCTGATGCATGGTATTTAGCAGCATGTGTCAGAGCAGACTTGATTAATTGAGTCTGCTGCCAGTCTGCTGAAGTGTGCTAATTAGTGTGCTCCAGCAGCCTTCGTGTCACGTGTATTCATAGTCTCCGCATTTCAAAATGGGAGCAGGGGAGCAACCTCATTGAACAAGCTTTAGTTAAAGTGCCCCCACTACCATTTTGAGATGTGGGATGCTGAATACAAGTGACACTGTGGGCGTTTTAATTAGGGCAGCTTGCAGAGCCATTCTAATTAAAAGCTTGGCCACCTGGGTCCTGCACCCTGACACGTTGAAGATGGGCTTTCTGGACTAGCCCCGGGGGGGGGGCAGCCCCCCTCCCCTCCCCTGCCCCTACTCTGAACTGCTGCTAAAAAGCTGGTGCCCAATGTAACCTTTCTCCTCCCCACAATTAAAGGTGCAGGATAGTCCCCCGGTGGTACAGACATGGTGCAGGGAGGCCCAAAAAGGATTTCCAGCCATAATCCCAGCCCAAAAACCAGTTCTTTATTTGAGCCATTATACTTAGTATAGTGGGCACAGTGGGCTATCAGTTGGCAGCTTGGCCTGAAGAAACCGCACTTTGGGCTGGGCAAGACTCTGGTCAGAGATGTCTGGGAAAGTTCCCCAGTAGCACATAGGTATGGTGTGAAGTTGCTCAAGAAGGATTTCTAGCCATAATCCCAATCCAAAATCCAATTCCTTATTTGAGCACATATACTTAGTAGTGGGCATGGGGGGCTGCTAGTTGGCAGCCTGGCATAGCCAAACAGCGCATTGGGTTGGATATGACTGTGCTTAAGGCTCTTCGGGGAGAGTCCCCCAGTGGCATCAACATGAAGTTTGGGTGGCCCAAGAAGTATTTTGCTCCATGATCCCATCCTAATCTGATCTTCATTTAGGGCTCTGTACTTAATGCAGGATATTATTTTTCATATTCATTACTAAATGTACATAGCTGATGAAATACTCTCTCTTTAAATATGTAATTTATGAATTACAAACTTCTATTGGGTATAGATTAGCTTTGAAAAAATAACTGGGAATAAGGGTAGTGTGGGAGCCTTGCACCCTCTGCTGGGGCTGGGCAGACAACCTAGGCTTCCGGTGAGGGGGTTGAAAAGGGACCTGGTGCCATGGAGATGCAGCGGGCTCCAGGTCCCTCTGGTTTCCACTGCCTGCACGAGGCCCAAACTTCTCAGGGGGGTCTGGACACCTGGGTTCTCTCTGACCCTGGGAGGGGAATGGGGGCTGAGAGGATGAGAGCAGTGGAGGGCCCTCTCCTAGTTGTTGGCTGGGACCCCGGACACCTGGAATTTCTCCCAGCTGTAGTAGGGCAGTGAGTGGCACGCCCCCCATGAACAAACTGACACCAGCTGCCGGGGCTCAGCTGCAGTTTATTGCTGAAGCAGGGAGCAGGGCTGTGGCGGTGGCATCTGCTGCTGGGGTGGGGGGTGCACGCACCCTGTATCCTGAGAGGAGCAGGTCACCGGGGCACAGGAGGCCCAAACTGCTCCATGGTTTCCACCACAAGGCCGAGATGGTCCAGGAAGGAGCTGATGGAGACGCGCAGGAGCCGCGCCTCGGCCGCCCGCCAGCGCCTGCGGGACACCGAAATGTAACGGAGCCGGGGCCCCGCCCCCGCCCCCCCGCGAGACCCCGCACTCTCGCCCCGCCTTCTCCCGCCCCGGGCGGGGTCACTCACACGTGCAGCAAGTTCTCCACCACTGTCAGTTCTTTGCTGACCTCCCCTTTCCGGGGCTCGGGGTCAGGACTCAGGGCCCCGTGGGCAATCCGCGCGTTCAGCGGGGACGGGAACGGGACGCTCAGTGTGCTGGGGCCGAGTTAAGGCGAGACAGAAGCCGAGGCTAGGACCGGGGCGGCAGCAGCCCAGGGGCAGCTCTTGTGCGACTTGGGGGAGGCCGCCGGGCCCCCTCCCGCACCCCCTCCCTTCCCACACCCCCATGCTCCAGATACAACTCCAGCGCTCGCTGCACCTCCATCCTGCCGGCTCCGCCCCACGTGCCGCAGGGAGAGAAAGCTCCGCCTACAGAACGTTCTGCGTCACCGGGCCCCACCCGCTCCCCTCCCCGGAATATTAATACGTCACAGCGCGGCGCCCCACCCCTTTTTCTAACCCTTTTTCAACGAGACCCTACGCCCTTCCCTATGCTCGCAAGAAACGTCAGTTGGCTGGAAGCCCCGCCCTCTAGGCGCTGAGGTAACGCTCCTAAGAGGTGCCCATACCCCTGCCACCCAGGAGGTAGAACCCAGGGTTGCCCGCACCCACTCCCTTTCCTCTCCGCTCCTCCAGGGCAGCAGGAACCCAGGAGTCCATGTCTGGCTCCCTCCCCAGGGCCAGCTGCAATTCAATGCTGGCTAAGGGAGCCCTGTTACACCTAGCCCCAGCGTGCCCCACCCCAGAGGTGGCTGCATCTCATCCTTGAGCGAGGGGGAGCCTATAGAACTATGCCCCCACACCCAGCAGGCCCTGCTACTTCACAATGAAGAGTAACTAAGAGCTGGCTCAGGGCCTTACTGCCCTGCTAATTGTTCATTCCTTTTTCAAATTATTTTTTAACACATGCAGGCCAGCAAAGTGCAGCCTGGGGACCCACAGGCCAACATCCAGCTTGGGACTGAGAAGCAGAGCCCCATCCTTAGGACAGTGTAAGCAGGTAGTACATTTAGGCATTGGTCTCGTGGTTTCATTTGGGGTCAGGGGGGAGCAGCAGAGGAGAGGGATTCCCATGTAAATAGTGCCCTCTGCCCCCCCCCAATCCCAGGGCCAGCTGCATCTCAGTGGCAAGTGAGGGAGCCCTGTGCACGCAGTCCCTGATGTGCCACACCCCAGAGCCAGCTGCATCTTGGGACCAGTTGAAGGGGCCCTGTGTAGACAGCCTCTGCCTGACATCCCACCCCAGAGGCAGCCACATTTAAACACTTGAGCAGGGGCCGCCTATATAAGCCATCCTCCTCCAAAACACTTCCCAACCCCCCTTCCTCCTAGGGCAGCTGCATGTTACCAGGTAAGGGTCCCTGTATCACTCCCTGCAGAGGCGACTGTGTCTCTGTGCTTGGAAAGTGTATGGGTGGGGGGGTCCCCTGTTTAACCAGACAGAGCCAGGCCAGTCTTGCACTCACCATCACCTTTAATTGTGGGGAGGAGAAAGGTTACATTGGCCACCAGCTTATTAGCAGCAGTTCAGAGTAGGAACAGGGGCAGCAGAGGGGAGGGGAGGGGAGGGGGGCTGCCCCTCCCTTCCCCCCCTGGGGGCTAGTCCAGAAAGCCCATCTCTAACATGTCAGGTGTGTCAGGGTGCAGGATCCGGGTGGCCAAGCGCTCTATGTCATCCAGGCTCAGGAGGCGAAGGCTGCGGTCGTAGTCCTGGGGAAAAGAGGAATGCTATATGAGGCAAAACACTGATACTGGAGGGTCTTGGTATAACCAACCCCCTATATAGGTCCCCTGAAAGAGCAGGCACATGTTAGCATCACGCAAAAGGTGTAACCAGCCCCAGACACTCCCTGCCCCAGAGGTGGCTACATCCTGATGCCAGGAAAGGGGGACCTTGTAATACCCAGCCCCTGACACACCCCACCCCAGAAACAGCCACATTTTGTGGCCAGCCCCATGCCCGGGACTCACCTTTTGCAGCTGCTCCAGCACCTTCTCCATGTCAGCTGTGCTAAAATGCCGTGCCAGGACCTGGGTGAGCTGGGGCCAGAGGGTGGGGAAGGCTGTGGCAGGGGGGGAGCCTTTACACCCAGTCTCCTCAGGTGATGCCTTCTCTGGTGGCTTGATTACCAGGTTCAGCTTGGACTCAGGGCCAATGGCGTAGTCTGAGAGCCGGTGCTCATCTATGGAGGCACAGGGGTGAGCCCCCCACCCCGGGAACCTGCCGCCGCTCTCAGCTTTGCTGAACCCTCAGGGCCTATCCTGCACCCTGGAAGCAGCTGCTGACCCCCCCCAAAGCAGCCCTCACTAGCCTCCTTGGGTGGCAGGGAGATAGATTGGTTGGCTCCATAGTGTTATCAGCAGGCTCCAGAGTAAACACCCTCCACAGCGATGTTCAGGCAGCGGCCCCTGTCCCCGCAAGGCTCCGCTGATCTTCCACAACCCCCCAGAGCTGCCCCCAGACCCACAGGCCAGGGGGAGACCTGGGGGGAGCAGTGACAGACGGATCCCCACCGGCCTGAACCCCAGCCACCCCACCCAGGGCACCCCCCTCCCCCAACCTAGGACTCCCGCTGCCCGCCCTCACGTATCCACCCCCACCTTATCCCTCCTCCACAACGCTCCCGGGCTCTCGCACCTGGAGACTGCACTTTCGACCCTGCAGCGCCTTCACCGTGAGCAGCATCGCGAGCCCTTTAACTGCACCATAGAGTTATACGGCCAGAGTGGCCGCGGAGGAACTATAGAGAAGCAGGCCGGAAGTAGGGCGGCCTAGACAGAGACGAAGACGCAGTTAGAGCAAGAGCGGCTCTTTCAGTGCTATGGAGACGGAAGTGCAGCGGGCGTACTTTGCATCATAGAGATGTCTCTTGGGGGCTAGAGTGCTCCTTTGAGTGGGAAGTTTAGCCGTACTCACTCCACGCCTTGCCTTTGCAACTGAGCATTAGGCGTGAGCAACAAATGGGGAGCAATTAACGCACCAGCACAGGGAATTGGGGGTGGGGTTGTTGTTCTTTGCTGCCCCTAGGCTTCTGGGCTTTGTCAGGACGGAAAGATATCCTTCCTTCTCTTAAGTGTCAGCAGTAGGTTCCAGAATAAACACACAACGTCGTGATGAACTGCAGGTTCATGGGGGGTTTGCCTCACTCGGTAATGCTGGGCAATATTGCGACTTGCAGCAGGGGGTTCCATCTCACCCCTCTGCTTGGGGTCAGCCTCATGCTGCATTGGGGTCAGGAAGGAATTCCATGCCCTGGTCCTTTTGGTATGAATTCCAGGGTTACCACTTCCTCTGGCTTCAGCCTGGGGTCTTTCATGCATTGAATCTCTGGTTGCACGTTTGAATTAAAGCTTGAGAGAAACCAGCGACCATGTGACACGTTTTCAGACACTAACTTTGTAGCTGCTTGGCTCAGTTTATAGCTGGAAGGCATGATATTTATGGTGTGATGAGGAATTTTCACATGGAGCCGGTCTAAATGATGAAGCAGGGATTTGTGCAGTAAATGTAACACCTAGTGGGGACCTGTTTGCTGTTGAGACCTCAGAGGACCTGACACTGACTGCCAGGAATTAGCCAGATAGATGCATCAGAGGGGCTGTGTTGTGTACAACCCAGCTCCTTGTTGGGATGCACCTGGCTGCCTCTGCGTCCCTCAGCTTCGGTGGTGCCTGTCAGGATGGTGGCATCCTCCAGCTGATAGATGTCAGGATACAGTCCCTGACTGCTGGGTAGAAAAGGCCCCTGAGAGAGGAGGCAATGGCCCAGAAGCAGCCACATGGGTTCACCATATGTATTTTCATCGCGTGGGACTGAGACATAAACCTGGTGGTGGGTGGTGGTGTCACTTCATGGCTGAGCCATGTAAACTGTGGGAGGCTTGCTGTACCTACCTCCTGCTTCTGTGCTGAAGTCCCCTTAACTCTGCCCCTCAGGTGGGGAATATGCCTTGGGCATCTCTGACTAGATGAAAACTGGTAGAGAGAGGACATGTTTACTGTCAGCAGTGTCTTGGGGCCTACCTTTGCTGGGACAGTCAGAAGCTCTTGAAATTTGGGGCAGTGAAGATGGGCAGGGAGGGACCAGCTACGAGTTTCTTGCCTAGTGATTCAGCAGGCTTTGAGGCAACTGGAGGAGGTTCAGAATGGTGCTGGGGCTGCTCTAAGTCTGTTCTTGCTGTTGCCTCTGTCTGCTTCTTGTTTCACTAGGCTGCCCTCTACCCCAGCCCAAAACCCCTGGGCTGGGATACAGCCCCCTGCAAGGTGTCACCTGAGCCACAGCACAGCTTGAAATATTCAGGCCTACCAGTGATTGGGTGTCCATGGTTGGAGCCAGCTGGCAAGCAGCAGAAAACCTGAGACAACCAGGGCACCTGTCTCTTCTGGGAGCCCCTGGAACCCTGGCCCAGGCTGGGGGCAGTGGGTTTGCCCTGGGGTCCCTGCAGCAGAAGTGGGGCCTGGATAGGGGATCTGGTGTGCATGGAGGGCACCTGCCCCCCCAGCCAACTGTTCCATACCCAGAGAGGGAAGGGGAGGGCTGTGTCCGCCAGAGCATGGAGATGGAAAGAACACGGACACGAGGATGGAAAAATAGATTTTCATCAATATCAGCCAAACTAGCTGGTTACAGCCAACCCAGACCTGATGCCCTCTTACCCCCCAGCTCCAAGTCCTGCCAGTGACTCTCATTCCTGACTCACAGGCCTCTGCTGTTTCCCCTCCCTCCCAACCTGCAGCACCCCCAAGCCCACCCATCCCAGAACATGGCTGTGACCCCACTCCACAGCTCCTCTCATCTCTCCCCAAGCCCAGTGGCAATGGGGGTAGGGGAAAGAGGCCAAGTTTTCACATTTTCCATCTGCAAGAGGGAGCGGGGGCCAGCTAGACTCAGGCCTGCCCGGAGGGGGATAGGGGGGCTTACCTGTCCTTGCACCTGCCAGCCCTCCTCCTACCACTCATCCAGGATGAGGGCCAAGCACCCTGCCCTGGGCAGGGGCAACACTCCTGTGTGCCAGAAGGGTGGGGCACCTGCTACAGGGGAGTGAGAGGCAGAGCTGGGATGAGGCAGGGGGCTACAGGTGGGGAGTGAGGGACACAGGCAGGGGGCTGCAGATCAGGAGTGACACTTCAGCTGCCCTGTTTCCCCTTCATTAACTAATAAGGTCCCAAAGCCTTCTGTCTACTCCAGCCCCTCCCTAAAGCCTCCAGCCACAGCATGTTGCTCACATTCTCTTTTCCAGCCACTCCCCCAGAATCAGGGTGGAGGGGGCCCCATGCCTGGCTTATTCCCATTCTAGAACTACCCCAGTCCCCCTGCTCTGTGCCTGGAGCAGGGTCATGGCTGATGGACTAGAAAACACAGCAGTAGAAAAATAGAGGGTTCCTCCATTTTCTCCTTTGGTTCTTGGCTCCAGGGCCTCAGGATTGGGAGAGTAGTGGGGGCACTGCTGCTGGGAACTAGCTACCGTTGGGCAGGTCTCAGGGGCCGGGTGGGGGCCAGAGGCGCTGGTAGAGGAGATTCCCCAGGACGAGTATCAGCATCTCAGAGGTGCCACTGAGGGCCACGACAAAGGGTGCCTGGGAAGCCATGTCTGCCTGATGGCGCCGGAAAGAGAGCTGCAACACAGCCAGGGCCAGCAGGCTATTCTGCACCCCTACCTCGATGGCTACAGTTCGGCGGTGGGGGCCTGGCAGCCCCAGCCCAGCTGCCAACCCGTAGCCCAACAGAAGCCCCACAGCTGGCACGGTGAGGCCGGCCAGCACCACGGGCGCCTGTGCCTCAGCCAGGATGACAGCACCCATGTGGTAGGCCATGGCCAGGCCCCCAAGCAGGAGCAGAAAGCTGAAGGGCTTGAGAAGCAGCAGCAGCAACCTGGCGACACGTGGCAGCTTGCACTTTATCACAATGCCAGTAGAGATGGGTGCAGCGATGAAGAGCAGTGTGCCCAGGATCTTGCCCACAGGCACATGCAGGCCTGGTGGGGCACTCAGCAGCCGCCCGTACAGCGCCCATGACAGCGGCATAAGCCCTGCAGCCGCCACAGTGGACAACAGCGTCATGGAGATGGCCAGCGTGACATCCCCGCCCAGCAGCAGGCTGTAGAGGTAGCCACCGCCTCCACCTGGTGAGGAGCAGGTGATGACCAGTCCCAGCGCCAGGCCCTGGGGCAGTGCCAGGGCCCACGACAGCAGATAGCCATACAGAGGCATGGCCACAAACTGGCCCACGATGCCCAGCAGCACGGGCTGGGGGCGGCGGGCCAGGCCCCGCAGTGCCTCAGCCTCTACCTTGCAGCCGAAGGCACACTTATTGAGGAAGATGAGGGGCAGCAGCACGTACAGCACTGGATTCTCTGAGAAGTGGCCCAGCGCTGGGACTGGGACCACAGCAGCTGCCACTCGCACCCGGTAGTCACAGCGCTCCTCCACCAGGTGCTGGCGGTCCAGCAGCCGCAGCTGAAGTGGGGCCAGGCCAGCTGGCCCCGAGCGGATGGCCACCAGGAAGCCGCTGGCACCGCAGCAAAGGGCGCTGATGTTCTCCACCGCCAGCACATCTGGGGCCAGTGAGGCCACACGCAGCCGCGGCTGCCCGGTGCCAGTGCTGTTGCCCCCATAGCGGCTGGACACCACCATGATGCCACGGCTGCGCTCAGGGAACTCGAACTCCAGGGCGCTGCCATCACCCACGCTCAGGTATGGGGCTTCAACACAGCTGCCCCCCACCAGCAGCAGCAGCAGCAGCCACGAGGCCATGGAGATGGGCACCTGGACCATGACCTTTAGTGTCACACTCCTGGCTGGGGGGGGGGCGGGGTCACACCCTCATGGCTGTTGCATGGGGGCTCTGGGGTGCTTCCGTCGATCCTGAGCAGGGGGAAAGACTAGAGGTTACGGCGGGGGGGGCCAGAAATGGGGGGAGGGGGTGCCCCAGTGGCCTTCCCCCCCCACTGCCTTGGAACAGGTTTTTGGGGAGAAAGCAGCCAGAAATGGAACACGGAGCCACTCCCGGCTTGCCTCCTCCACCCCAGTATCTTCCCGCCCAGGAAGTAGATCCCCCCCCACTCTGACCTCTGACCCCAGGTCTCAGGCCTACCCCTCCTTCTCCCCGCTCCTGACTGACCCCTGATCTCTTTGTCCCGCTCACCTGCTGCTGCAACCCTCACAGCCCCTACGGGCCCCGGCTGCGCCCCACTGCTTCCTCCCTCCTGGCCGCGGCCACACCTCCAGCTATACATTACGCTCCCAGTCACGCCCCTAGGGCACGCCCTCTCATCATGGGCCCCGCCCACCCCGGAAGCGGGGCGGGGCTGGGAGTTGTAGTCAATTTCCCTCCCCTGCCGGAAGTGGAAGGGCGGGATTAGGGGTAGCCTGAGCCCTGATTGGTTGGGGGATGGTGCTTCCCCACCCCGTCATCTGATGGTGGCATGTTTCAGTTCCACCCTCTTGCCATTCCGGGGGGTACAGCCTATTTGTCCGCCTCCCGCTTTTTTCCCGGTCCTGTGCTCCTGAGTATTGGTGGGACGGCGGTCAGCCTGCATTTTGATTGGCCCACGATGCACTCCGATTAATGGCGACTTTCTGCCGAAGCCTCGAATTAGAAGCCCCGCCCCCTCCCACGCCCCTGGAGCCCTGTGATCTGATTGACTGACTCAGGGGCTCCTCTTCCTGTCATTGGCTGAGGCTAAGAGAACCCCTACGCCCTAATTGGTGGGTTACCTGGAACTCCTCACTCTCATTGGTGGGTTAGGGATGCCCCTTCCTTTCACTGGGGGGAGGGGGCGCAGCCCACCCTTCCTCCTCCGCTATAGGATGCCCAGGGAGAAAGGGGCGGGGCCTTATTGGGTTGGGGGTGGGCGGTCCGAGATTAGGCGCTACCCGGTAGCTTTCAGGGCTGGTGCTGCTGCGGGACCCTCGAGCCGTGGCCCCGCTCTGCGCCCACGCGTTGCGTCCTGGTCACGTGTAGGGGGCTGGGGCGCCCCATGTGGGGCCGTCTCTTGTGGGGGATGGGGCGCTCGGGGCCACGTAGGGCAGGGGCAGGGGCAGGGCGGGGAAGACCTGCAGGGCCTCGGGGCTTGCGTCGGTGAATCCAGCCCTGCCCTTGCCGCCGCGGAGCTTGGTGCGGCCGGGCCCTGCCCTCCCAACGCCCCCTCGGGCCCCGGGCGGGGTCATGAGGCTGGCAGGTGAGAGCGGCCCGCGGGCCGTTGGGAGGGGGGCGGGGGTGGGAATGGGAGCAGCCCCGTGTACCCCAGCTCTACCCCCCAACCAGGGCCGCTCCGCGTGGTCGTCATCATCCTCACTGCCGGTCTTACCTGGATCCTGGCCAGCCTCTTGCTGGGCACTGAGAGCGGCTTCGGCTTCGCCCGGCTCCAGCGCCTCCTGGCCAGTAGGTCTGGGGCCCTTGCTTGAGGGCTTGGTACTGGGGCTGTGGACTGCTATACCCCCTACTTCCCTGCACCACACTCAGGCAGGGGCCTCACAGCTGCTGTGGTCAGCCC